GAAGGAGCAGGAAAAGCAGCAGCAGCAGCATCTCTGCCCCCTTTCTCTATATACTGTGATACCCTTGAATGCATGAATCCCTTCTGTCTGTCTGTCTGTCTGGCTGTATGACCCCTCCGCCACGAGCATGCTCTACATAGCCGACCACGCCTTGTAGTTCCCACCCCAGGGGAAACATAGATACAAATAACCGAGGTGAGCACCTCGCCTGGAAATAAATGCATCAGATCTCGCCACGCAGAATGCAATCTCACCGAGCATTCAATGTACGTAAGCATGAACGGGGAAAAACAAACAGAGTACCCGGACAGATTGATACGAACTGAACTGAACTAAACTAGTTGGATTGGAAATGAAATTGTACACATTACTCCTCTGATACCCTCCCGAGCAAACATTAAAAAGAAAAAGAAGGGGCTGCTATATAGAACCACGCGTGTGTAAATAAATGTCCGTTCCGTAGACGTGGAATGAAAAAAACCAAGAAAGGGGGAGGGCAAAAGCAAAGCTCTTCGAGATGGCGAGGTTGCTCTCGTGTTCTACCATGGGTGGACTGGGTAGGTAGAGAGGATGTGGCCTACCCGGGAGGGGCTTGCGCGTCGCGTCGGAAGAGTTGGGGACTGGTAGCATTGCAGGGGCTGAGCGAGTGGATGGTGGAACCGGTGACGCCGTGGTGTCAAATGGGGGCTATCGATCAAAGGAACGCAAGAACAAGAACGGGTGTCTTGGACGGTGTATCGAATCGAAAGGGGGAAAAATGCGCGCGTGGAGAAGTCCAGATTTCAGATCTTTCCATTTCATCTCATTTGGGTTTTTCTTTTTCTTGTCCTCCCCCCGCGCGAAACTCCATTCATGAAAGAGTGAAAAAGAATCTCTAAGCCTGGCCATTCTCGCCCTCTTCCTCCTTCTCCATCTCCGCATCCTTGAGCATGAGCGCCAGGTCATCCGGCGTCATGCCCTTGGGGAGATAGATGAACTCCGCGTCGTCCTCGGGGTTCGCACCTGCATCGGTGGCGCTGACATCACGTTTCCAGCTGGACGTACCATGCCTGCTCCAGCGGAAGCCCCACCAGCCGGGGACAGGTTCGGGGGTGGCATCGCGTTTCCAGCTGGATGTGCCATGCCTGCTCCAGCGAAAGCCCCACCAGCCGGGGACAGGCTCCGGGGCGGCGTCGGCACTGCGCTTCCAGCTGGATGTACCATGTCTGCTCCAGCGGAAGCCCCACCAGCCGGGCATGGGGGCTGCCTCGGGGGAGGCGTCACGGGCGGAGAGGCCATCGTTGAAGGATTCAGCCGGGCTGGCAACCGCGGCGGCGGCACCGGAGAAGGCGATAAGGAGGGCGGAGGTGATGGCTAGCACTTTCATCTTGAGTAGTTGGGGGTTTTAAATAAAGGTGGGATGGAGGTGTCTGGTGTAGTCTTTCGATGGTGTCGAAAGACTGTGTAAGGAAGTGTGTGGGACGATTAGCTTTGACTTCAAAGAGTGTGTTTGATCGTCCAAAGGAAAAGTTGTACCCAGGACGAGGGAAGAACTGCCTTTATAGACGGCCATGATATTGCCGAACTGAGGCGCTACAGAGAGATGTCTTTGATACGCTTGATGTCAGGAGGAAAGAAAGAAACGAGCGGTTGAGGACGGACCCGGACTCAGAGCTCGTTCGTGTGGAGAACAACCACGCCTTGGCAACCAAGTCTGACTTCATTATGCCTCCATGGGACCAATCCTGAAAGCAGGGAACAGAGGCGCGGGTGTCTTGTTCTTGGTGCTGGATATTGGACGCAACAAGGCAAGATGTGCTTTCTAACAAGACCGCCAAGATGACTGAGTAGCAGATGTCGACCAATAGAACATAGGTACAAGCCTTCTGCTTTGTAGGATGATCCGAGATGTACAAAGATGTCTGGCATATCGAGGCCCAAAATGGTGTTGAATAGCATCTCTAGCTCCCCGTTTTGGTATATCAATAGAGAATGACGCTAGCCGGATTGAGCATTGTCCTGGGCTGAACAGCACGCCTCCTTGATCCCATCCTCACAGATCGCCTGACCTCGTTCAATCATTTGCTGCACTACAGCTTGATGTATCAAAGATACCTGCTCTCCCATTTTCCAGGAGAACTGCATGCGGGAAAGGTATGGGGACTGCTTTCCAATGCCTGGTGATCGGCGCATCTGTGGGCTCGGATGGACCAATCAACAGCCTGAGTGTGACTTAATCTATTGTCCACTGTGATCCTGTTGCTTGACGTCTTCTAACGTCCGGTAAAACTCTTGCTGCTTCTAAGTCCAGGATCGCCTTGAACTCTAGAAGACCTTCCACAATGTTCTTAATCGATTTTAAGGACGTGATAGCCTTCTCGATCTCCTGCGGCATCTGTTGGAATGCTGCTTCGGTTGCTGGAGAAAGGGTTGAACGAGCCTTGCCCTTTTGCTGAAGTGACGAGCTTGTCGTTGGTGTTGGAAGTTGCGAAGGGTCACGAATCCTGTGCCGCTTTGGGGAAGAAGACGGGACTACCATATCATCACCCACCACGGTTGCAGATCTGGCTCGCTTGAATGGGAAAGTGGGCACAGGAAAAGTGAAATCGACGTCTGACTCCTGCGAGATCTGATTAGTATTTAATTGAAGGGACAGTAATTTGGCCAAAATTGAATGAACTCGGATAAAAAGCTTGTGAGTGACTCCGCCAATCTCTATCAAGTGCTCCTTCTTACGTACTTGAGAATCTGCAAAGATGCTATCATCACTGACTGCCATATCAGCAGCGCCAGCTGCCGACTGATCCTCCTTGGAAGAGACTGGTTTGGCGCTCTTTTTCGCTGTGCATCCTGCGATAGCTCGCCTTTTTTTTACGAATGCCCGATGTCTTCCGACGATCAGATGGTAGTCGCGGAGGCGGAGGTATTCTGTAGTGGATGTCCTTCTTCTTCCGAAGTTGCCGGCCAGCAGGGGCCATTCTCGGTGAGTGTGGTTATTCAAGCCTGTAGCAGAGCAATGGTGTTCTGTAATTTGGATGGTTGAGTATATGGAATCTAAACCGACTTACGGTCTATAGGATTAGTGAGAACATGCTTCCTTTTGAACTTTGTGAGATCCCAATGTCATCGCGGTGGGGTCGGGTTGTCAATGTTGGCCATGCACAAGGCCTGGAAGCAATGCCTCAGGGAACTATTGTGGCGCATTGTGCCATGGTGATAGTCATGAATGCTTGCAACACCATGAAGGCCTTCCAATGATCTTTCTAAGCGCGCCAGGCGTTGCTTCAGCCTTGCGATGTGCCTGGCGATAGCTCACTGGCTCGCAACGGGCCGCAAAAGAGGCCTGTGGCGGAATACCAATTTCAAGTTTCAGCAGGCGACAATACAGACATGCGTGCATCCTCTAGCCAAAGCAGGAAGACACGGTCAAATCAAAACAAAGTGGATGTAGATATGGAGCCACTCCGACTGGAAAGGAGGAAGCAGCATGGTCATGCAAGGTCAAGGTAATGGAGTGGCGTAGGCTGGGCAAACTGACCCTTACAATTGCCCTTGCATAGTTAGTGGGGCGTCTACTAAGTAAAATGGGTCAAGCCGTTCATGCAAATCATCAAAGAAGAGAGCATATCCGACGTTGTTAAACTGCTCTTTGGCATACTTATCGTGGTAGGATGCGCACGGACTCTGTATTGGATAAAGTATGACTTCCACAAACTTCAAGGGAGCTCACAAGCCGCCTGATTCTGGTATTCCTCAAATATACATATATGACCATCATGGCCGCTAGGGAACAAATCTACATGCGGTTCGAATGGATGCCACCTTCGTTTGTAGATCCTTGTATAAGGTGGTCAGTACAGAATACACAACGAAACTCCGTCAATCCTTCGAAGACGCTCCAATTCACTTTTTTGGCGGTTCAAACTGGATCAAGAGTAGGTTATGCATATAATCCTAGACAACTATGTACGTCAATGATTCTTGCGGTTCTCCCAGCCGTTCATCATACGACGGACGCCATAGGTCTTCCGCCGTCCCGGAGCGCTTTGCAGCCTTAACATATCCACCGAAGTCGTATGCATCGTGGTGGTTGATTTGCTGGTCGATGAAAGAATGCTTTCCGGACCAGTTGCTCTGTTGGTGTCACCACCGCAACTACCTTTGAATGACTGATCCGGAGGCACTTCTCGAGAAGGTGAGCTGGATAAGAAACCGTATGGCTTTCGCTTTCCATTAGGTATCTCTGCCAGAGGTTGAGGCCGTTTAAGAGACGCCGGCTTAGTTGAAAGCTTATGAGAGGTGAAAACTGTAGGTATATTGTGATCTTCTTGTTTAAGCGGTGCATTAATATAGCTTGGGAGCTCTGGTTCTGGTAGTGGTTTGGATGCAGGTCGTTCAGTGGTGGAACCGAAACTTCCATGGGCAAAGAAGTTAGCAAGGCTTCCCTGACCGCCGCTGGCCTTTGTCTTTCCACGCCTCGACTTGGCTACCGTAGTCCGCTTTGAAGTAGTAATTTCCCTCTCTCGACAAATCATCTCATCTTGCACCTGTGTTTGAGTGAGTTCAAGATGGCGGGCTGCTGTCGAGAAACCAACGGAAATGCCGGCCAGAGAGAAAGAACTCGAGCCGGTCATGGTGGTTTCCGTCATCGTCGTTCCGGCTTTCAAGTCACTGTAGTGCATCCGATTACTGTGAATGTTGTGTTGTCTGTCAGTGTTGAGATCCACTTTGTGTCGAGTTGAAGTAGCTTCGTCCTCAAAATCCCACCACTGCTTTGGCTTTGCAGAGCCGTCAGCCGGCCAGAGATTATCCCCCGAACTCTCCCTCTCCGACAGGCTTTTGAGACCTTTGAGGAGTTCTTCTTCTGACGGTGGTGAGCGTCGCAAAATCAGGGCAATATCACGAACGACCTTGTCCGTCACCACTGGACCAATCTGAACGAAATGTCGATGCAGCTTCAGGGGCAGAAAAGACGAAAGCGTAGTCTCTGTATCACTGCGAGACTGTCGCAACGGACACGTGAGGTAGAGCAGAGCTTGAGCACGAGTCATTGCCACATAGAGGAGGCGACGTTCTTCGTCGGTATCTTCAGCTCGAGAATGAGGTATTGAACCTTCGTAGACCGCTGGAATGAAGACAATAGGCCATTCTAACCCCTTCGCCGAATGGATGGTAGATATGGTGATACATTCTTGCTCCTGATTGTCTTCCGTGGCCTGCAAGTCTGAAGATAATGTGATGTTCGCGAGGAAAGTTGCAAGGGCCTCGTCGTTGCTATCCGACTGCTGTTTGTCGAGCCCTTCAATCTCTGGCAGGCTTTCCTCAGAATCTACTCCATTTCTGTTAGAACCACTTTCAGCGATATCATTAGCTTGATTCAGAAGTTCTTCAACATTTGCCCATCTGTTTTCATGGTCTCCGGCATGCTTGCCTTGTAGGTACTCTTTGTATGATAGTTTGTTGAGACAGAACTCAAGCAGAAATTTCGCCGTACTCTCAGCTGTTACATTGACCATCCTTTTCTTGGCTTCTTTGACAAGCGCTATAAGTTTGCAGAGGTTTTGCTCCGCTGGCCGGCTCAATTTCTTTTTCATGGTCAAATCTCCTTGGGTATACTTCTGTATGACTGACCACAGGGAAGTTCCACTCTCATCAGCCAGGCGTAGAAGCTCTTTCAAAGATTCTTCCCCAATTTTCCTTGACGGGACGTTAATGATAGCCGACAGGGCAGCGTTGTTGTTCGGCTGGCTGATGGTTCGGAGGTAGTCGAGAAGGGTTCGGATCTCATCTCGATCAAAGAACCGGTAGCCCCCGACCATTCGGTATGGCATCCCTGCTTTTCCCAATGCATTTTCGATGAGGAGAGACAGGTGGGCAGAACGAATCAGAATGGCGTAGTCAGAGAAAGTGGTCAAGTTCCCAGTCATAGCTTTCATTCTCTTGATCTCAGCAACTATCCACTTCGCCTCATCATGGGCAGACGGAAGCCTCCGCAACACGGGAAAGGTACCATAGCAGTGAGTAGCCTTGAGCCTCTTATTCGGCCGCACGGTATCCTGTTCGATCACCTCCTGCGCGCAGCACAGCACAGCTGCGGACGAGCGATAGTTCTCCTCCAGATGTATGACGGAAGTGTCAGGGTAGTATCGCTGCATGCGAGTAAGATTCTGGATCTCTGCTGATCGAAACCCGTAGATGCTTTGGTCTGGGTCACCAACGATTGTGACTCGTCTGTTCTTGCCGGCGAGAAGCTTCATGAGCTCTAATTGGACAGTATTGGTATCCTGAAATTCGTCGATCAGTACAGCTTCGACGTTTCCGACACACTCGGGACGAGCTCGCAGAAGGTCAGCACAGCGGATTAAGAGATCGTCGTAATCAAGCAAATTCGAAGCTGCAAGGGCATTTTGGTATTCTTCATAGACCTGCAGAAATTCCTGCTCATCCGCGCTTGCTTTCTTTCTTGGTGGTTGCTGTAGATGTTCATCAACATTTTGGGCTTTGGCTTTACACCGTGATATGCGAGTTCTGGTTGATCTAGGTTCAAGCGATACATTCAGGCGCTTAATTACCCGCTGCATCGAATCAGTGTCGGCTTCCATCGGGGTGAAAGGGTCCGTACCGTGAGTATAGCCAGAGAGTCGGAAGAGTCAGCAATCTGGAAGCCCTTGGGTATACCGATAAGATAGCCATAATTGGCGAGATAACGACGACATATTGAGTGAAACGTGCCCAGTAAGAGCTTCGACTCAAGCCGTTCTCCAATCAAACTTTTCAGTCTGGTTCGCATCTCCCTGCTGGCTTTGATGGTGAAAGTACAACAGATGACGTTCCATGGTTGGTATCCATGATGAGCAAGAAGGTAGGCGACGCGTGCGGTGAGAGTCTTGGTTTTGCCTGATCCTGGCGGCGCGAGGACTTGCAATACTGGAGCTGTGGATGTAACGGCGGCAGACTGAGCAGCATTCAAGCCCTTCAATATGGCATCCATTCGGCTCCAGCATGAGGGCTGTCTGGATAATGGCTTTCCAGTAATCGATTGCAAAATGTTATAACATCGCTACTGCCAGTGGTACTACTGTAGGAGAAGTACTGAGGTAGTTCGCCAAGTAAACACGAGACAGACACGCTATCATGTGACCTGGTTGGCTAGCAATGCTACAACCTCCGATCTAACTTATTTGACAACGTGCTTTCGTATTTCATCCGATGACAATGACAAGTGGCTTCTGATCTCAGCCCAGTCTCCCAGTCACTCGTTTCAACATCAAACCCAGAGAATTCGACCGTCAATCCTGCTTGAGGTCTCCAACTTCCCAAATCAACGGACAGCTCACTCAAACTTGAGTAAGGTCAGGCTCCCTCCTCCAAACACTAGGACGCTCAGGTATCGTCTGAGGTCTGATGGGCTTCTGATCGAAGCTGGTAACAAGAACAAAAATCTAAGAAAAATCCCTCCAACGCCCTTCCAGTAACCACCAATGATGCCTCTCACAGTCCTTTGAACCAGGCACTTTCAACAAATTCACCATTACCAACTTTCTTCAATATGAAGACAGACCCATATTTATGGGTGCGAATCGGTTGGTGGATCGACGTATGGTACGTCCTTCCCGACCTTCTTCAACAGAAAGATATATCCTTCGTCATGGTTTTTGGCGTGTGTGCGGGTCAAAGGTATGACACCGCGGCGGCCAACATCGTCGCAATGCCACCATTGAGCGCCAATCTTTCTAGTGGTGGTGTAATGTCCGCGATGAGGGCTAGGCTTGTTAGCAGGTCACGCTGTATCGACGATGACTAACTCACCTGTTGCCCGTGTGCTCAATCATCCCCTCTAAATGATAGTAGACTGGGCTGTCATCGCCAGAAGGTAGTATGGTTTTGCACATTGGAGGCGTAATCTTGTTTGTGGCCTTTTCCATCTGACCGCCCTGCGCATAGGCTTGACCTCTGGAGACGTGAGCAATGAGATATGCTGGTGACTTGATCATTCGCTTTCCAACCCAGCTGTCCTTTGTTGACCACTTGCCTAACCAGCCACAGTTTTCGCAGCGGTACTCGAGAAACCTTGATCCACCTCGCAGATTTCGACCCAGCAATTCGTCAAAGCTCATTCGCCTAGAACCGAGTTCTTCTGGAATGCTCAAATGGCAACCATCCTCTATGAAGGTTTTTCTCGCGCCACATGCGCACACTTGCTGCTCGGCAAATTGTGCTGTCAAAAGTTCATCAACGCCAAGCTCCGGCTGCTCCTTTCTTACCTGCTCCAAAAGTTTGAGGATGAACTCGTGGGCGTCCCCTTGAGTATCGCCGTACATTGGGTGGTCTTTATTCTCTGTGAACATGGTGCCACACACCTGCTGAAAGACAAACGGGTTGATTGCGCGCGGTTCCTCTCCGACCTTAGACATTTGCGTCATGATCGATTTGAGATGCGGTAAGAGCTTGCTGTGCCAAGGTTAGCAGTGCATGGGAAGATACTCATGGAATATTGACACATACAGCTCACCGCTTTCTTTCCTGAGCTTCAAGTGTTCACGCTGTTTAGCACAAGCAGCTAGTTTCGGTCGCCCACGGCCAATAACTGCTGATCTCATCTCTTCTGGTTGTAAAATGGCGTCGGCTTTGGTTTCTTTGTCGCTCTCGTTTTCCAAGACTGCAAAAGTGGGGATCGAGTGAAGCAGATGCAAGCTAGCGTTCATGAAACATGCTTTATTGAAGTTCAACAAGGAGTTTTGGTGGTTGCTTGCCTCCCGCTTGGGCTTTTTGGCTGGGCTCGAAACTTCATCGTCACCTTTGCGCTTGACGCCCGCTGTTGGAGGGACGCCCCCTGTTGCCACTGGCTTTTCTGGTGAATGGTCTTTGTCGAGAGTGCCATCCGCCGCGTGGTGCTTAGCAGCACAGCCTTCTTGCTTGCTGCCTGTTGGTGAAGCCGCTGTAACCTTCTTCACAGTCTGTTCTTCTTTGGGATTGACAGTGGCTGAAGTTTGGGCTGCGACCGAAGTGATAGGACTATTCTGAGTCTTGGTCTTCTGGATGTCGACCTTCTCACTTCCTGCCGCAGGTTGCTTTCCGACACGCTTGGATGATGGACCAGACTTGGCAACGCCATCGGTCTGTTCGGCTTTTGTATCAGATGTTGGACCAGATTCGATCTCTGCATTTGCCTTTGATGTGTTGGCGGCAGCAGCCTTCTGCTTAATGGTCGCAGCACTTGATGCCATGTCAGCCTTGGATCCCTTCACTTCACCCGTCTGTTTAGTGGCTGGCGTGGGAGATTTGGCTGTGGCCTTTGGTTTCGCTTGTTTGTCACCATCATTTTTATTGTCCACACGCTTTGCAGTGTCAAGCGCTGGGTCGGCTTTTGCTTTTGAAGCAGCTTTGCCGCTCTGCCCAGCTGCCTTTTGATTCGAGTCTGCCGTGGCTGTCTTCGATCCAGTTCTTACGCCGTCAGCTGCTGCGGCCTTCTCCTCATCGTATCCGTTCAAGTGATCCATGAAGGACGCTGATTTAGCTCTCTTGGCCCTGCCACTATCCAACTCCGCTGCACTGCGTTTTACACCAGTTTTGGGAACTTCTCCGATCCTCGATCGCTTGGAATCCTTGTCATTGTCGTCCTCTGCTCGACGCTTGGCTCCTGCTGTTGTATTCACTGAAAAGAAACGCCCAGGTTTGTGTAAGTTCGCATATTGTTCTCGAGATCGTTGTACAGCTTTGGACTCGGATTCGGTTTTCGCAAGAGGAATCTTTGCCTTGGGAAGGCGGTCTGGTTGAGGTTGGCGGTAGTCATACCTCTCCAGCTTGCCGCTGGGTGGTTGGCATTGCTCTTCTGTGTCAGGTGGAGGTGAAGGTGTCATGTCCTTCTTGTACTGACGCTACATGATGATTAATTATTGAATATGATAAGGAAAAGCTAGTGATATGACTGACCAGTGAGCGAGTTGGTTGGTTTGCAAGCTTACGCTTCTCGTTGTCCGCGGTCCATGCCCGCTTTTCATCCCGCATTTTTACGTATCGTCGCCTTGCAGCAGAAACTTGTTCCTTCGTGAAGATTTGTGTTGCGGAATCGGTTTCAACCATTGTGAGGACACTTTCGTTTGCGAAAGTCTGCCGTTCAAAGGAGTTTATGCGGGGGACTGACTATGACTCCACAACACGTTAGCACATTGTCTCGAGAAACACACGTACCGAAAGACAATCAGGGAATATCAGATGGTTTCATTTTGGTTGTCAGCAGGATTTCAAGTGGTGTTTCGGCATGAAGCAGAGAAGAATCAATTCGGAGGGCTGATGATCATGGATGAGCATGATGGAAGGGTGATGAACGAGCGTGGTGTTAAGAGATGATCGCCGCATTTGATGAGCATCGCTATTGCACAGATCGGTGCAAGGATATGATCATTGTCGTCGACAAAGATTGTTGAAGAAAAGCTCCTCAGCAGACAAGGGCAGTGACGAACAAGAGTTGAGCTTACATGAATAATCGGCTGGCGGATATAAGCCGCGTCGTCTTTCGTGTCAGGACAACCGAAGATATTGATCGAGTCAAGAAAAAGAATTTCTGAACAAGATTTATGTTAAACTGTTTTGTCCTTGGACAAGACAGAAGAGCTATGGCTTATCCCAAGGATCGTCAGGGTAGCGAGGATAGTCGACCGTGTCAACCACGGTACGAGACCGGCACCGACCTCAAAGAAGGTACGGAGCGGACTTAGATGGAGGCGTTGAATGAAAAGAGGCTTCCGTAATGAAGGCTACAAGTTGCTTGATGGGTAAGGTACCTTGCCCGAAGGATGGAAAATTGTGTGAAGGTGATGTGGGTTTGTGAACCTAGAATGCAGATAAAGAAATTTCTGGGTGGCAGTCTGGCGCAGGTCGCTCAGTCGAGGGTTGGAGCCGCTCAAAAATCAATTCACTAGGTGAATCACGCCTGTGTAAACACTTCTGCTTTCCATGCGGAAGCAGATGTGTTCGTTGAGTGTCGGTGCTTGGCGCGATGTGTGTGATGCTACACCTACGCTTGTACGATGTGTTCAGATACCCGAGGGCAGCTAGATCATCATACTACATACATGCGCCTTGGTCTGGAGAGAATATTGATGGACATGCACGTATGGCAGCTTCAAGGGTGTATAGTGATGCGATGGGAATAGGGGCACTGGCTTGGCACTGGTGCTTGTATATTGGCAATGTCTCGACTCTCTAGGTTCCCTCGGATGTACTGATTGCTAGGGACCTGGACTATCTCGAAGATAAATCAAAATTCATTCTAAAGTCCCAGCCCGTAGGCTCATTGTAGGCCTGTGAGTTGGATCCGATTGAAATTCTAAGACCCTCCTAGTAGCCAGCCAGCTCACCACATTCACTCGCAAGAAACACACGACCACAAAGAATATATATTTTATTACAAAAGCACAATCTGTCAATTGGGGAAGGGTCGATAGTCTGGGTGGGTAATGCCGATCGATTCTTCGGAAAACTTGTACATCGTTCTACTAGATTATCAACCTTCCCGCAGTTGTTCAAGAGAAGTCAAAATCGTTATCGCACGGTTTCCCTCTCGCACCTGTTCATCCACAGGCTTCTGTGGAGAATGGGTGTAAGGTTTTTGGCTGTTATTGTTTTTTAGTGAGATGTATGTAGTATGACTGGTTGTGGGTTCGAACCCTGCAGGGGAGGATGTTTTTTTTGGTCAGTTTTTTCCCCTGATGGTGAAGCAGCGGCGACATGTTCTTATGACACATCATCACCATCATCATCATCATCATCATCATCATCATCATCATCATCATCATCATCATCATCATCATCATCATCATCATCAATACAGACTATATAGGAAACCGTTTCGCCCGGGATGATCCACAGCCAGCCTCCACGAAGTCAAATCTTCTTACTTATCGAGGCTGGTCCTTAGCAGCCAAATCCAACTGGCATCACCCACACACAAATGGTGACGAAGAGGACTTTTTTTTCTATCAATATCCACATAACCATGCGTCGGCATACCATGAAGAGACACAGGTCGCTCGATGACATGCCATTATTTCGCTCGACTCCATTGAACTTGCCTGCGATAAACCTGTCCCTTCTAGCCATTCTCCTGCCATCATTCCTGAGAACGAGAAATTGATCCGATGCAGTCAGGATGTTGGGTCAGAGTGAATATGCCTGTTTGAGGCTGGCTACCACTACGGAGTGCTATTCGCCCACATAGGGTGGGGAAGCGCTGCACGGCAGATACTCTGCTCAATTGTGAAGACAAGAGGAAAGAGGGGTGGCGTCTGGGAGGCTCGAGAGCGCTGTTATTATTATTTAGATGTATCAGTCTGTGCTCTCCGTGCGCTAGCTGTACTTCATAGTTTTAGCAAGGGAAAAAGCTGATGGAGCATATCATCACTCAGGTCAATGCAGGTAAGACTCTCACCGACCGCCATGATCTTTCTTGATCTGGACTCCTGGAGGAGTAGTTACTACGTAGTACGTAGTAGGGGAAGGAGAGGAGACGCTAATGCAGGTCTTCCGTCAAAAGCTCGGGCCGGAGGCCCATCCGTCGGAAGCCAACCAAGCCCCGCACTCCCATATTTCATTTCATTCCACAATCCCGCCAAGTTACTGTCAACGACAACTCCTCAACCCTCCAACCACAACCGAACACCACCACCCGCCCATTGACCTACCTACCTCATCCACCCCGCTCCCACAGATTGTCAAGCAACCATGCGTATTTCCACCCTCCTCCTCCCCTTCCTAGCCATCTTCCTCCCGCTCACCATCGCAGCCGCGGACGGCCCCACCATTGAGGTCCTGAAAGCCGTCGAATGCGACCGCAAGACCAAGACCGGCGACACAATCTCCGTCCACTACCGTGGCACCTTGGCCTCCGACGGATCGCAGTTCGACGCCAGCTATGACCGTGGCCAGCCGTTGACGTTTGAGGTGGGGAAGGGGAGGGTCATTAAGGGGTAAGTTGACCAGAAACCCCTTTCTCTTTTCTAGTCTTGAAGACGTGTCTCTGGCTGGGTGGGTGGGAAACTTGGTCTGAAACATTCCCTGACGTTGAGGAAAAGAACGATGGGATTGCGAAGACCTCTTAGCCTTCCTGAGGGCACGAGCTTGTTCTAGCCTTGTGAGAGATCATGCTGACTCTTGAATCATGGTAGATGGGATCAAGGACTCCTAGACATGTGCATAGGTGAAAAGAGGAAGTTGACCATCCCACCGGAGCTGGGTTACGGGCAGCAAAACATGGGGCCCATACCGGCCGGGTCGACGTTGATCTTTGAGACGGAATTGGTGGGTATCAAAGGGGTGCAGGGGAAGGATGAGTTGTGATCGGTGAGGCGGGTGCGAAGGGCATGTGGAAAGACTGACGTCTGGCCATTGCGGATCGGATAGGCTCGATGACCTGCAACCATGAGACTATGTGTGTTGTACGTAGGCTGGGTTTCCGGATGGTACTACACCGCCTGAAAAGATCGCCATAGTAATAGATGATCAGCATCATATGTGGAGATTCGCATTAAGAGGTGTAGGATTTCTTCGGGCTGACTAGATGTTCTGGAAGTGGTCATCCTGAAAGAGCCTTTCGTCTTCCTAGGATCCCCAGCGCTTGACTCGGCTGCTCCACGAACTTATTTCGCAGGTCCACAGAAGACCCGGTGTCCCCACAAAAAGCGTTCTAGCAGGAAGTTCTACATCAGGTGACGACCATGTCGAAGGAGATCCCCATACCAGATAACAGGAAGAACAACTAAAGCTGCCCATTTCCCTGTTAGGGCCCGTTTCAACCCCAGCCTCCCCGGATCATCTCTACAGACCTGCTTGACACCGGAATGAAGGATTAGTGTGATCTACAATCTTTGCCGTGATAGGCATGGAGGAGGTTTGCTGCGCTTAAAGTGGCCAATCGTGCAAGAAATACCCCAGAGTCCGTTCAAAGTACTGGATCCAGTTGCATTGCAATATCATCCCCATTGACACCCGACTCACCATCCAGCTGACCATTCAGCCTATCACCCAACGCACCATCCAGCCCATAATCAGCCGACGCTTGGGCAGGGATTTGGTTCTTGAAGCCGTAAAAACAATCATTGAATAGTTGGGCCAGGTCGCCTCCGTCAACAGCCTGTCCGATCAATTCCGCCACAACCACTGCGACACCGGCTCGACCATAATATGTGGCAGCATATACCAATGAGCTGCCGTTGGGTGGGACTCCTGCCGAGATGTAGGTGACGTTCATGTCGCCGGCCATCTGTTCGATTCGCTTCCAGATCTGCTTTGGCGGGAAAAAATCATTGAACGTTCTCGGATGCCAGCGCGTGGTGCAGAACATGCATGAGATGAATTGCGGTGGCGTATTGGTGTCGAGGGACGACCGCCAACGTAATGGCGAATTGAGCCATCCTGCTGCGCATTCACGATGGTAAAATTCGCCGCAGCAACCGAAGATGGCAAGAACGTTGGCAGGCTCGAATTTGATTTTACAAATGGCGCAGAGGTGTCGATTTTCTCCCAGCTTGTCCAGCAGTGCTTGTATGACTGTGAGCACTGCGATGCAGCGGTGGGGGATTTTGAGTGATTTGTTTGCCATCCGGACCGGGTAAATGTGATTGATTTGCTGTGATGTGTCTTCTAAGGGTCGGGCTGATAAAAACGAATGTATAGAGGCTTTTGTAAGTCTGTTGTGGGTGGAATGCTTCTTGCAATATTTCATTTACTAAGTGTCGAAGGAGAACGATGGTTTATGGTGTCTATGAGGATCGTCGCAGGATACCAATCTGCGTGATATTGCGCTTGTTGAGAAGCCGAGCAACACTGGGAAGGTCCACCTCAGCTCTGGTAGCCGCCGCCCACAAGGCTGAGCGAACAAGATTTATTGAATGATTGAAACTTTGACTTTTGTGATTTAGCCAACCACCTGGACGCTGAAACCATAATTTGTAGACATCTTAGGAAAAGGGGATTACCCGACCTTACTTCTACCAAGCATTTTCCAACAAAAGCAAGCGGAGAGAGTGTGAAATTTTGCACATGATAAGTTCTGATCCTTAGCCACTGAAGCTGTCCGAAATCAGGTGTCTTAGAGGTTGTGGCCCTCCAACTGCTTCTGAGTCCAGTCCCAAAGCTCACTCGCCAAGTGCTTGTCTTGCGAATACTTGCTCGGCTTACCAAGCCGGCCAACCGGCTCATAGTAAGCTCCACTCTGCAAATCCTTCTTGTCCACCGTAGCAGCCCAGAGCTGATTCTGCACCCCTTGCTCTAGCGTCACAATCGTTCCGATAGTGATGACTGCAACCAGCGTCCTCTCTATCAAGCCAAGACTATTGAGGAGATCCGTTTTAATTACCCCTGGGTGAACAGCCGCAACCGAGATGCTGGGACAACGCCTGGCTATCTCGCTCGCATAGAGGATATTTGCAAGTTTGCTTTGGAAATAACGGATCCAGCGACCACCGACAAGGATGTCTTGCTTGGACTTGAGGTCATTGAAGCGAATGCCGGGAGATAAAGCTCCACGGAAACCCATCGAGGTGACGGACACGATTCGAGCATCACCATAAGCCTCGGAGGTCTTAAGCATGGTCGGTAGCAAATGCTTGATAAGAAGTGCATGACCGAGGTGGTTGGTACCGAATTGAATCTCGTAGCCATCTGTAGTCACGTCTGCAGGCACAGCCATGATGCCAGCATTGCAGATCAGGATGTCTAGTCGCTGTGATTTGGAAGCGAACAATTTGCCGGCCTCGTCAATTGAAGCAAACGAAGCGAGGTCACAGGGGATAAACGTCAGCTGAGCATTCGGCACTTTGGTTTTAATCTCCTCAATGACACGGGAGGCGTTGTTTGAATTGCGCCCGCCAAAGTAGATATGGGCGGGGTTGTGCTTTGCCAGCTCTGCAATAGAGCTTTTGCCTAGTCCAGCGGTTCCTGCATTGTGTCAGGCAATTGCACAAGTGAAGGGAGATGTACTATCCTCCAGTTATGAAGACCACTTTGCCAGACAGATCTGGGATACTATACGCGTCGAAATTCGTCATGGCTGGTTGAATCTGTTTCAATCAGCAGCAATGGAAAGGATGAAGGCAGATTAAGAGCAGAAAGAGGAGAAAATCTGAGATATGATGGACACACAAGAAAACGAGTGGAATGCGTCCAGAAGCTTGTTAAATATCTTTACACTACTACTGCAGTTGTCTGAATTGGGTTGCTGGAGTCTACAAGCTCTGGTGGCTAGACCATGGAACGCTTTTAGTGACAACGCAGTGATTACGAGACCTCAAGGACATGAAACCGTCATAGCTTGAGCATGTGATCGTTATCGGCCTAATCGTCTGCGAGTATGATATCCACCGTAACGCTCATACCACCGTAACGCTCATACCACCGTAACGCTCATACCACCGTAACGCTCATACCACCGTAACGCTCATACCACCGTAACGCTCATACCACCGTAACGCTCATACCACCGTAACGCTCATACCACCGTAACGCTCATACCACCGTAACGCTCATCTTGATTTTGATTCGAATAGGGGGTATTCTTTGCGTATAGCTCCACCACACCATGGCCGATTCATATGAGGATATAGAAGAGCGCGTAGAATTGGCTGTACAAGATATTCTCGCTGCGCGTGAGGAGGGAGAGCATCTTACCATCACAGAAAAGGCGCAGGAGTATGATGTGAGCAGATTTCGTATCTCGCGTCGATTAAGAGGGATAGGACCACGTATGGGTCGAAAACCAAAGAATAATCGACTATCAGAGGTGCAGGAGCAAGCTCTCCTGCGATATATCTTATCTTTGGACGAAATAGGGCATTCGATACACTATGATCAGATCAGCAAGGTTGCAAATAATATGCTCAGAGCAGATAACGATTCTACGTCATCTGTAGGCTAGCACTGGGTTCAACGCTTTCTAAATCGACATCCTGAGCTTCATAAAGCAAAGCAAAAGCCCTTAGAGCTTGAGAGGAAGCTTGCTCATGATCCTAATATGATTCAAAACTGGTTTAAGCGTTTTCAAGCGCTTCGAGAGGCGTATCCCCTCCGTACCCGAACAGGGGTGTAGAATGTGTCAATTAGCGCTGTCGATCCCTTCGATATGAGGTTGCCACAACTTTCGCTGATGCGAATGCCTCAAGTAGATATTCGAGAGTAGATATCTTCGAGTACAGAGCTTTCGCTTCCTTGTCAAATAATTCTTCTAGCATACACAGTCATAGAATACTGGCAAACAGGTAACGAGTGAGCAACCTTATTTGAGCTTAAAATCTGTCAGAGACGCTAATTGACACATCGGGTACGGAGGGGATAACGTTTTTGATGAAGATATCTGGAATTTCGACGAAACAGGCTTTTGGATAGGAGTAGGGAAGTTGCAGTGGATAGTGACCTCTTTACGTTCAAAGCGGCATTACTTGATTTCAGATAACAACCGCGAATACGTAACAGCTATTAAGGCAGTCAGCGCCGCAGGAGTTGTTATTAAACTAATGCTTATCTTGTAAGGCAAGGTCTATTTGGAGCGTTTTTATTAAGATCTCAAGGATGAGGTCCTTATAGGCTTATCAGAGACTGGATACTCGAATAATAAGCTTGCTTATGCGTATATCTAGCATTTTAAACGTCAAAGTCGACGTACAAGGGTTGGTGCGCATCGAATTCTCTTATATAACAGTTATAAAAGCTATTTAACGCAAAAGATTCTTAAATCCTGCGAACTCTGGAATATCTATATCTTTGCGTTCCCTTCGTATGCTACACACTTTCTTCAGCCGCTTGACGTTGTGCTATTTCAGCCGTATAAGCACTAGCACGCTCAAGCTGTAGATTAAGCAACTCGTACAGGATGCAGCAAATTCGATAAACTCGAATTTCTTACAGCTATTTATGAAATTTGTGTATTAACATTCAAAAAAAACGTTATTCGCTCTTTATTTCGCGAATGTGGACCTATTCTATATAATCCACAGATTGTGCTCGAAAAGATCACAGAATATCTACCTCCTCCTCCTCCTCCTCCTCCTCCTTTACGACCTTCTACACCTCCTGAGAACGAAATTCTACTTCCTACTACTCCTTTAAGCGCTCGAGCACTCAAAAAGCAAGCTATTCAGCTAGAAAACGCAACTCCAAGTCGTCAGAAATTGATACAAGAGAAATTCATCAAAGGCGCTCTAATCCAGGCTAAGACTGCCGTACAAGTTCAGAAGGATTTAGAGGCTTCTACTGCAGCTGAAAGAGAGCGAAAAGAACGAAGATCTCAATCTCAACGTCAGCTACAAAAAGGAGGAGTTCTATTGGCATCACAAGCTCGAAATATGGTTACACAGCGCGTAGAAGAGGGTGGCACACAGCTTCAAAGGGCCCTGTGGCGAGAAGAAGCCCTACGAAAAGAGTTGGAAGATGAGCGCCGCAAGCTCTCAAATTTGCAGTGGAGCGTTGAAAATGGCTTCCCTCTTGTTGAGGAGCAATAGTTTCCTAATTAAGCGATTTCTATGCTATCTATACTCATTCAAAGTCGAATATGAAGAAGAATACACCCTATTTGGAAGAAAATCAAGATGGGCGTTACGCTGATATGGGCGTTATGGTGAGAGCCACGCGCTGCGCGCGGGCTTGTAGGGGGGGTACCCCCCTGCAAGTGGGGCCCCCAGGGGCTCCACCCATTGGGCCACGGCTACAGGATTCTGCTGTTTTGGGTCAAGAGGTTCCCAACTTGTGCTAGTGGGAACTAAAGTTCGTATCACGTGATGGATGCGGAAATAGAACGCTAGTCTTGGTAGAGAGCTGACTAAGACAATCCTCGCATAGCGCCACCACCCACGGACAAGCGCATGCCTTGTGCGAGTGCTCGGAACTTAAAGTCCAATACCCACAAAGATCTCGACTCATATGTCTGAAGGAAGTCGCTTGAAAATCTGAGATTTCTGGGCGGCTTGTCCAATTGAATTCCAGAAGATATTTGCCTACGACCACTATCGAGACGCTTAATTGACAGTCGGTCATGATAAGTCCAGCTCGTTGCCCCTGAAGGGCTTCTATTGTGTCAACATATTCGAAAAATAATTAACAGATCTTGCCGTGAGCAGAAGCCATGGGCTGGCTCAGTGTCGGACTGCTGGTGGTCTCAGGAGGCTGCATACTGTATAGACATCCGCCCGCTTCTATCATTCAGCTTCTGTTAGGACGTGGCTTCCAGCGAAAGGAGTGTCTTGCTCAGCAATCCCAGACGGCCGAAGTGCAATCTCGGGATGGCGATGACAAGCAGGAACCATCATTTCCTGGATCTTCGCCGTCGATATTGATCGTGGCTACACAAGAAGGAAACGATGCTGTGCCTGCAGATGGTTCACCACCATCAGCCACGCCCAGCGCTGTATTGTCGCCTTCATCGGTAGGAGCATCCACGAAACTCGCGCCCTCACCCGTCCATGCACCTCCCGTCAAGAGTCCTGCGATATCCAAACCTCCGACCTTCAGCTCCATGCCCCCTCCACCACGTCCCTCTACCAGCGCTCCACTGCGTCCACCCCCCTCCGCGGCCGCATCACTCCGAGTACCTCCGACCAAGAATTTCTCTAATGCTGCCTTTGCTCCCTCTCGCCTGACAGCAAAATCACCCAAGTCCTCGCGCCAGGTCACACTGACGCCCGGCCACTCGCCGTTAGACTGGGCAGCGCTCACCTCAGACCCGAACAACAAACTTCGCGGCAAAGACGCTCCAACGGACCAGCTGATCCGTGTATCTCCGTCCCGGTTGAGATACCAAAATGGGCGGAAGGGAAGAGATGCGTGGACCGAGTATCAGGGAAAGGTGTACAACATTACTCCCTACCTGCCATTTCATCCTGGCGGGGAAAGTGAGTTGATGAAGGGTGCAGGCAGAGATGCAGCAACGCTATTCATGGAAGTTCACCCTTGGGTCAATTGGGAGGCGATGCTGGGAGAATGTCTGGTGGGTATCCTGGTTTCAGAAGGCGAGGAACAACATGGTCGGAACGACGGTGCTGCGGAGCTCGACGAGATGGATTGAATAGCTTGTCTTTACTATGTTGGAATCTAGCGCTCTCTGGTATCGAAGATAAAACCGCATCGGTCCGGCCCGCTCGCCAGCAGTCCAGAAGACTGCATTCGTTCTCTCAGCAGTGGCTTTGCAAATCGCCAGGTTCGACAAGGAAGAGAACTGCTAAAAGCTGGGATTTCGGATGCCCGCCGACAATGGCCTACTCGCCTTTTCCAACCACCTTCGTCGCTGCATTATCGAGCATGGAAAGGAAAGTCCGACGCAAAGGAGGCAAGAAGACCTGCAGGCCGGAGCTGCAGAGATGCTGGGCCGCTCGAGCGACGAGGAGGCGGTGGTGGTGGTGGTGGGGGGGAGAAGTCAGGCAACAAGAATACTGACGAAGCCAGCGGCTCTTCGATTTGGCCCTGGCGGCTGTGGCTGGCACGGAAGCGAGTCGTGCTTCTGCAATGGTGCATAAGTTGAGTTGTTCGTGGGTGGATGGTTCAATGTCTGACGCGCAATACGATACTAGTAGCCTCTGAATAATGTACAGATGTCAATTTTAAGGACTTAAGAGTCTAGAATGTACAATGCTCTGTGGTCACTACCTAGCTTGATCGTACATCTAAGTCGTAAGCATTTGATGCTTCCTGAACCAATGACCCATCTTAGCATCCAGTTGCGCGTTGGCCGGGAATTTCTTCGCGTCCGGCCCATAGAGCCTCGCATTCCCCTCCACCACCGCCCAATCAATCCGATCCCACCACCTCTCCAAGTACGTCCTCTTGCCACCAATACCATAGTCTCGCAGGTAAGCATGCTCCCACGTATTGACGCAGAGAATCGGGAAGCTGTTGTACCCCCCCAGAGCGTGATCACTTCCTGCAGCATTTCTTGAATGCGCCCCGAACGAACCGACGGCGTTTCTCGGCTCCCTCCAACTCATCGATCGGCTGGCGCTCAATGCGTTGGTGTTGTAGGTAGCCATGTCATTCTGCTGCGACCTGAAATGCGCCAGTTTGTGGGGCGAGCCGGCAAGGTATGTGCAGAGCAATTTCATTTCGCCCAGCTTTTCGTCTTTGACGATCCAGACGAAGCCCGGACCGAACATGGCGTCGGCGGTCTCGATCATCTCGATCCGAAGGGTTTCGTAGCTGGAGAAGGAGTCTTCGATCTCCGAGACAAAGGTAGGGGATGGCTCGGTTTTTCGGGGGGAGAGGCAGCTGAAGAAGGTGTGGTTGTTGCAGGCCATGGAGGCGTGGTTGAAGAGGGATGCTTGTTCAGAGGAGCGACCGTATTTTTCGACAAGGCGCTGGGGCTTGGTTGTTGCGTCGGCGGTGCCTTGTTGAGAGAAAGGTTAGCAGTTGTGCAGATGGGGGTTTTGGATCCGGAAGTGTTTGAAAGTATAGTCATTATTGCATACCCATGGTCAAGGCGTTCAATTTCTCTATCATCATCGATTGATACTGTGTCCAAGCAAGATCATACCCTTCTGGCGAAAGGAAGCCATCAACGCCGTGCTCTGCATATGTCTCATCGTGAGGAAGAGCCGGTATTCGGTGTCCTTCGAAGCCTGTGGGCAGCGTCGCTAGCCCTCGACGAGCTGATGAAGGCGGATGTGAATATCTCGGAAGCAGGCCAGCCTCCACGGAAGCAGTGCATCTTTGCTTATACGGAGCTGAAGCGACGGAGGAGAACACAGCCAGCAGCTGCCTCTGCGGGCGACAAAGGGATCGAAGTATCATGAAAGATGACGGAATGAAGGAAGATGCATCATCAGAGCTGAGAGATCATCACCGCCTCTTCTCGTCCAGCCCAATTTTCTCTCCCAGCTCCATTTCCTCGAAAGAGGACTAGCGTGGCATCTCTTGGCGTGAACCTCGAATCGACTTGATTGATTCGATTGACCAATCGAAAGTTGTCTTCGTGTTGTTTCGCATCTGCTTGACGCGCGATACCCACGACTCTTGTTTCACTTGTCTTCCCCCAGCTGCTCATGTCCTGTCAATACTGCGGCTCGTCTCGCTTTCTAGGACTGGCGTCTGGTCTCCAATGCAGCCTTTCATCAAGGCCGCATCCGGCGCCAATGGATGGCAGAACTCTTTTTATTTAGATGTAACAGCTTTTCGCGACTCCCAGTCTGCCATGAACGCAACCAACGCTTGCTTGCTGGCCGACTGACTGACTGATTGATTGACTGACCGTGTGCTCCCAGGCCATATCTCTCCTCCTGTTTCTCTGATTCTCTGATTCTCTATGCTTTATTCTCTATTTCTCTTTCTCTTTTGCTTCTCCCAAGTTCTGGCATCGTTCTGCTTCTGGAACTCTTACTGATCCTAGTCTTAATCTTCCTTTATGTGCAGCGAACTTTCCTTTGTGACTCGACCACCTTCTATAACCGGCCAGTCATTACTTGCGAACGAAGTCTGACTACGGCCTGTCCTTCACCGTTTCAATCACGCTATCTCATCTCTCTACATCGGCTACTACACCGCGAAGTCATCTGCCAGAGGTGGCACATAGATGATGGCGCCTCGATCCACTATATCAAAGCTCGTACTTGTCTGTCTGGCTTCATCCGTCGTGCCATGCGCCTCTGCTCTCACAGTCGCAATATCAGCTGCACAAGCACTCGGCATCCTTGAAGGTCGACAAACTTCTACATGTGCGAATTCATCCTTCACCAGGTGTGCCGACACCAAACTACCCTCAGACTTTTGCTGCTCCGCGGACTCAACATGCATATCCCTGGACTCTTCGTCGAGTGCACTTTGCTGTCCGAATGGCGCAGACTGCAGTAAGATACAGCCTATAAGCTGCGAGTTGAGCTTTCAAGATGTGTCCGGCCGGCCCGACGCAGCTATCAAGACGACGAGATTGGATGAGAGACTTGCCACTTGCGGGAGCAATACTTGCTGTCCTTTCGGCTACACTTGTGATAGTAACTCCCAATGTGTGATCGATAAAGCCACAAGTTCGACGGGAAGCGCCTCCAAATCACCATCAGCCTCAGCGACATCAACGAGTTCGACTACATCAGCAACTCCCCCCGCGGGTATCGACTCGACCAAACCTGCAGTCGCAGAGGGCATACCACTATGTCCTCGATTTCCCGGGGCCGCGGTAGCTGTCGGGTTCTTCCCCGGCATGCTTGCTGGTGCTTTGATGGCCGTCATAGCTGTTATATGCCTTGGCCGCCGCCGTTCTCAAGACGATCGCCCTTATTCGAAAGGTTCCAGCTGGTCCTCAATCAAATACTCGAACTCGCACAACCACGGACGCACAGGAACTGGAACCATCACCGGCATATCTGAACCTATGCCCATGACCCAAGGAGTGAGAACCGACTTTCTCCGACGGCAACCAAACGGGATGATCAGAAATGGCGCCTCCAGAGCAAAAAGCTGGCTCAGCACCAAATCATCCCCTACATTTGGCGACAGCAACGAGAAAGTATCACCGCTCAATCCAATAAGTCACTGGAAGATGCCCACTCCGCCAGTACCCAACAACATACCTCTGACAACCCTGGGAAAAACAGTCCCCGTCACTCCCCCATCACAGATTCGACCTTCAGCCGCTTCGCTCGCTCGAGAACCAAGTACAGAAAGCATCAAAATCTACAGCCCACCGAGCATGGTGCGTCCACCATCGAACAGTGGATTTAGTCCTTCCTCCCATCACCAACCACAGCACGGATTCAAGAGCAGCATCATGGAGAAGCTCAGCCCATTCAAGGGGACTGAGCTTAAAGCCAAGAATGGCTCCCCCTTCTCGCCTTCCATGAATGTCAATAGCAACATCGCACCTCGAGGCGGTGCGCTCGACCCTACGCCGTCATCGTACGGAGCAACCACCATGCCGCAAACACCGGCTCCTCAACGGCCAACACAAGCAGACAACGACACCATCCTCCCATCAATGCAATACCAAACTCCCCAGACCAACAACAACCCCTACCCCAACACACCAGCCAGACGTCCACCTCCTGCGTCAAACCAATCCCGGCACCTAACCCACATGACGACCTTCACCGACGTCCTCCGCGACGCGGGTCTCGAGTCGCGAGAGGAGCACCCACCACCCGCCATGCCGGCCATGCCCAAGGGTTTGGATTGGAAAAGCGGCGTCAAGAAGGCGAAGAAACCGAGGTGGGAGAATATCGCCAATAACAGCGCGCACAAGAAGGGTGGGAATGTGGAGTATATTTGAGCGGACGACTCCTCCTTGACCGGTCTTTGGTCGGGAGTGAGGAAGTTGTTGGAGTTGTCATCGTCGTTGTTGTGAGAATCGAAATGTGTTGGATATAAATTCCTTCCTTCTGTGTGTGTACGAGCAAAGACTGGGAGCAAGCGGCCTCTGGCTGCTGTGATGGTCTGGTAGGGAACAGTCAGATAGGATGACAATTTCTTGTTCAATCACACAGAGTGGAAAGCGAGATTATTCAATCAACGGGCCTGGTTGGACCTGCTAGCATTCTTGCCCCTTTCTCTGCCGTTGAGTTTGGATGAGTTCTAAGATACAGCGGTTTGTCCGCCTCTCCCCACGGAGGAAACAGACAGATCAATAAAGGTGTCTGCCTATCTATCTATCTATCGCATAATCTCCAGAACAGGAGGCTAGTCGTCCTATACCAAAGCCAGTGACAGTCCAAATAGCCCCCTCCGTCCAAGGAGGCAGGCGACCCCTCAACCCTGTCCCCCCCACCTCAACCACCAACACCAGC